GCTGCACAAATTGATCCTTCAACTTTAGCCTTATTTTTACCGATCGTTTAGACTCCCCCATGAATCTATACAATTTAAGAAGCAAGATTATGATTGATCAAACTAATCAAAATAACATATAAAACACATATAGGACAATCATTTCAACATCTTTAAAATGGATACATCCACCTATATTGCATTAGTCCACCGAGCCAAGCTTCATATGGAAGATGAATAGGGAGATGTTCCATTGAATAAAAAATGCAGGAGAAAATATTATCTCCAACTTGCAAAGAATGATTGGAATATTTTCTTCCATTCTAATAAGCATTTCCCTCTTCAACGTTGTAGAACACAAATCTTTGAAGAAATGACTAATTTCAATAAGAGGATTCAAAAAATGTACTGGTAACACACTAAATGCAATAGGAAGTAAACATTCCATGAATACATGACAATCATGACTTTTCATGCCATGAATCCTCCCTTTTTCAGCATCAGCACATCTTGCCAAGTTGGAAGAATAATCGTCGGGAATCCTACGTTCTTTTAACCAACGACAAACTACCTTTGCTTGTTCAATAGTATACGCATAATTTGCTTTAGGCTTTAACATTTTGTCGTTAGCTTGTGCCTTTAACTCCAAGTCTGGATGCTTACAATACAAAGCAATATCCTTCCTCGCCTTCTCATTATCTTTTGTCTTTCCATTTACATTCATCACAGTGTTGAATATGTTATCAAAAAAATTCTTCTCTATATGCATTACATCAAGATTGTGTCTCAACAAATTATCTTTCCAATACAGGAGATCCCAAAATATGCTTCGTTTTGTCCAATTGTGCCACTCTCCGTATCCTTCTATCCTTGTGATACCACACTCAGTTACTTTTGGTAAATATTTTACTCTTCTCCAAACTTGTGTAGGTGTTAGTCGAGGAGGTGACCCTTCTACTTCAACTTCTCCCTTTCGAAAGACTTTAATATTTCTTCTAAATGGATGATCATTTGGTAAGAACCTTCGATGTGAATCAAACCAACAAATTTTACGATCATAATTTAATGTAAATTATTTTTTATGCTCCATGCAATGTGGGCTAGCCAATCTACCATGAGTCCCCTAACCAGATAACATCCCATAAGCGAGAAAACCATTAATTTTCCACATTAAAGTTGCCCTCATCATAAATTTTGTTTCTTTGAAATATCGTATGTGAGAACACCATTCCACAATTTTTTTCAAATCATCAATTAAAGGCTCTAAGTAAACATCAATAGAGGCCTTCGGATAGGATTAACCCGGAATTAGGAAAGTTAGAAACATATATGGCTTGGTCATGCACATTTCAGGAGGACGATTGTATAGAGTAACAATGATAGGCCAACAAGAATAAGGTGAAGATGAATCCTGAATATATGGATTAAATCCATCAGAACATAACCCAAGTCTGACATTGTATGGATCAACAACAAAAGTTGGATGTTTTAGATCGAAGTGTTTCCAAGCTTCACCATCTGATGCATCGGAAGTTTTATTGTCATGGTGCCAAGCCATTTGCCCAATAGTTTGCATTGATGCAAATATTCTTTATAATCTAGGAATTATAGGCAAGTAAAACATGAACTTTATTGGAACTGGCTTTTATGGGTTGTTCCACTACTTTTCTCATGATATCTTGGTTTTTGACAAAATTTACATTGAAGTAATGTAGCATCTTTTTTGCCATTGTCATTGTCATAAAAAAACATACACCCACTCACACAACAATCAATCTTCTTCACCTCTAATCCCAACTTTGATACTAATCTCTTGGCATCGTAATAAGTTTTTGGCAAATTTTCTTTTATAGGTGTGACATCCAACAACATGCGTGTCATAAAGTCTAAGCATTGATCAGGAATATTCCAATTTGACTTGCATGCTAAAAGTCTAACACATATTGACAATTTTGAATTTGTTGCCCCCTCAAATAATGGTATATTTATCTCTACTAATAAATTATAAAACCTTTGAATTGCTTCATTGGTGGCTCTTCTATGTTAAGACAATTGGGTCCTTGAAATGATTGATGTTGCCAGAGAGAATCATACATCATCTCTTGCATTGACATAAATTGGTCTTGTTCAGTCATGTGTACATCAATACTTGAACCGCCAACACAATTATCATCAACATTTTCTTCAACTTCAGGCACACGTTCTCTGTGATCCGTCCAAATCTAATAATTTGGTTTGAACCCTTGCTTGTAAAGGTGAAGTTTTACGATTTCATCCTTCAAAATTCTTGTACAATCGCATTTGATGCATGGACATCGAATTCCCCCATCACGTTCGTAATACTCATATTGTCGAGCAAATCTAATAAACTCTTCAACCCCTATAACAAAAGACTCTTTCAAACCTCTTCTACCACTATAACATCTATCATATATCCAACCGCAACTGAAAGAAATACCATCCATGTTCTGTAATATTGAAAAGAATTTATTAACATAGGTTTAATTAGGCATGCATAAAGGTACTATAAGAAACTTTGTTCATATTTCCCTTGCAGCCTCTCTGTGAAAGGAAGCTATATTTGAGTATTGAAGCTTGATTTTATAATCAATTAAGGTTCAAACTATTAAATTATCCTATCTATAATCACGAGACACATCAAAACCAAGGCATAACTATACTAAAATTACCAAGCAACTCAGTCCATAATCAAACAAATGAAATAAGGCCAATCATGCAAAAATGAAACCCTAAACAAAATCCAGCAGACTCCAATTAGAAATAAATATGTCCAGCATGGTACCAATGAACAAGACTACACCATCACAAGCAAAACCCCTCGATCATAAATCATCAGAAATAAATTCTCGACCAAAAATGCAATGCCAAATCAGAATAAGGTAGAAACATAAAGCAAAATCAAACCCAGAATATTGATCCCGGCCTCGGGTTGAACCTCCACAGGGGAGCTAACTCATGCCCTCACCTTCGACCAGGGGACTAGCTGCTGCTTCGAGCCGTGGTGAGTGGATGGGTAGGGAGGCGATTCACGGTTAGTGGTGGACGCGGCCCACGCTAGGGTTCGAGTGAGGGAGATGGGGGTGCTAGAGTGATTTTCGGTGAGGGTGTTTGGACGAGAGTAAGTGAGGTTAGTGAAGGAGAAGGATTGAAGGAGATGATGAGAGCTGGGAGGTGAGGCCGCGAGTCACTAGTAGTGGAGGTGGAGATGATCGGCGTCGCGGAAGGGTTACGACTGATGGTGAGTGGTTGTGAGCGTGATAAGGTGGAGCGGCACGTGAATTTGGAGGTTGCCGGAAGGGAATTAGGGGAATAAGGTGGGAATGTAGTGAGATTGGGGAGTTTAGGTTACAAGATAATAATATTCTGAGGAGAGAAATAATTTCACTAATTGTTAATTTACCGATGGATATATCCGTTGATAAGACCATATTTCGAAAATCCATAGGTAATGTCCATCAATAATCACTCATTTTCCGATGGATATATATCCGTTGGTCACTAATTGTTAATTTATCGACAGATATATTTGTCGGTAATTAATAGTTCATTTACCGACGGATGTATCCGTCGGTAAAACCAAATTTCACAACTACCTTAAATTCGTCGATAATTTTCGTCAGTAATTACTCATTTTCCGACAGTTACATATCCGTCGATAAATAAGAATTTTCTTACAGTGTTAGAGGAACTAACTAATGCAACATCAACCAATTGTGTACTAATCATTTCTCAATAAAATCAAGTAACTTGTCTGCCAATGAGAAGTCAATGCCACCCATGAAAACATTTTGTAACCACTCACATAGAAATTGTACACTTGAAAATGTAAGAATAAATTATTATGCGATTTCACATTCCTCTCACATAAGCTACATGGAGTACATACTGATTTCATGTGCATTGACAATGTCATCTATATGCATTATATTAAGAAGAAGCTTTTAAAGTTCAAATGAAGGGATGGAGGAATACATTTTAACCCCAACCAATAGCAGACTAATTTCCTTCTAAATAATGCCTCACAAGTTTTTGTGTCATCAAATCATAACTTGCCTTAATCTAGACCACCTTATCCTTATTTCAGTTACACTGACATGTTTTAAAGCATTATTAAGCCTTTATACTTATAATTTTATTTTTTTTAATTTGTAATTTTACTATTTCATGTATTAGTAATTTTATTTGATTTTGTCTCTTATAGTTGTTCTTAACCAAGGGCTTGAGTTACATATTCTTATTATCAGGCAAGGTTGTTTAAATTTCATTTCTTGCACCATGGAATATTGATGTTAGCTTTCTAGTTTTTCTTGGAATCACCATAATTAAAATTTCATTTTAGTTTTTATTATGATTTTTCTTGGAGACATTGGAAATCTGAATAAAAGATTTATTTTAATTCAATTTTTGGTGTTGTTGGTTACCTTATGTTTATATTATAAAAACATGACAAAGACTTTAGTTTTTATGTGTGCATGTAACAATAAGATTGTTTGTAATTCAAAGTGAATTAGTAATTTTTTTTGTATTTATTATGTGCCCATATTTTGTCTTTTTTTTTTTTTCTCAAGGAAATAACATGGTTTTTTTGTTCATATTTAATTCATCATTTATTCCCTATATTTGCACCAATATTTTGTTTCTATCCATGTGCCTAAAAGTTATATGTTTTAGTATACCAATAGTAAATATTGAAAGACACGCACTTAACATGTCAATCTTACACCTAACCAATTACAATTTAATAATTAATTAAAAATAACGGTAAAATATATTTTTTATATAATTACTATTAGAAATATTTGTGTTTAATACAATTAATTTTTTTGTTTGGTCTTCATACATTATAATTACCTGATTAACATTTTACTCATCAACATTAAAAAAATTATTAGGTTGATGCCACATAGTAGGTGTGATTTTAAGTGTCATATAAAAAATAATAATAACTTTAATTTTTTTAAATATTTTTAATATACTTTTAAATTTAATTAAGATACCACATGGTGGGAAAGTTGATTCTCAAACAGTGTAAGCCAACACAAAGAAATGCAAACCCTATTGTTCACGTTGGTGATGAGTTTCTTGTAGTGAACATTAACAAACTTGAAGAGGATATCAAGGGTGACAGTGATGGGAAAAGTGGGTAAGAATCTTGCGGGGAAGGTGGGGATATAGGAAATTAGTCGTTTGGTTTTGACGTTATGTAATATTTTGCACATGGGGAAAGGAAGTGGATGAGGAGGCATATGGAAGTGCACATGGATTCATCCAAGAGAAAATAGTAAAGGAGCTAGAATCGGGGTTTTGTTGTTTAATGGAGTTAAATAAGAAGAGACAATTGTATGTAACAAGGTTTCCAAAGGGGAACAAAGGCTTTGAGGCATTCTGAATGGTCATGGCCTTGGAGCTTGATGACAAAGCAGGTAAAGGCAAATTGGACAAGGAAAATGAGGTGCCTTGGAAGATCTAAGAGATACCATGAAAACCAAGGGTGTGGGGTGGTGGTGGGGTTTGGTGGTCATGACCTCATAAAAAACAAAAGGCTATGAGTGATTGTGAAATGGGATTTTGTGCCTCGTATTTCTTATAATTTGTAGTAGTTTCTTCTAGTATGAAGTCCCATTAATGGAGTACGAGTGCTGAAACTTTTCTCCTCTTCTTCCATTTCTCTTAGACATCAAACTTTTATATTAATTAAATTAAAAAAAGTTGATAAATGTATTTTGGAGAGACAAGAAGTCAAAAGTTTATTATGATTATTTTTTAGATGTTATGGTTTTTTATATCAATTTCCATACTAATAAATATAATTTTATTTGTGTTTTATTTATTAATGTAAATCATTTAGCAAAATGTCATGTTGGAGGGTACTTTACTATATGAAACTTCAATGTCTTTTAGTTTATTTCTTAAGTAGCTTGTAGAGAGCACTAGAAACAAACAACTGAATATTCACATATCAAGATGAAATCATGTCCAAAGCAATTGGAGAGGTGTTGCAACCGGGGGTCACAAGAGGATGACGAAAAAAAGATGAGATTTAAAAATAAAAAGTGGAGTCGTTACCATAGTTTATTAAGAAAAATTATGGAAAAACCTAAAAAAATGGTCTCAAAACCAAATTTCAGTTTGGGAGTCAATTATGCGTAAGAAAGGTATTAACACCTTACAACGTCCGTCTTAAGACAGTTACCCTTAGTTGAATGTGTAAAAATAGATGTTATTTTGAAAATATTTATTTCCCCCTAAACAATAGACAACACAAGGAAAGAAGAGAGAAAATGAAACATTTTTGAATTTTTTTTTGTCTGACAAGGATTGACCTTACTCTTACGTATTTTCATTTGGAATGGAAAATCAGGGTTATATAGTTCTTTGTAGAGAAAGTTTGATGTGTTGAATTAATGTTTTGAAAGTTTATTTTTGAAAGAGCTTTTATATTTTTTTGGTCTTAAAAAAAAAGTTGCAAAGTGTAAGACGATGCGGTCGATCATATGGAATACAAAAAAAAAACTGAACAGGCATAAGATGATGCAGATGACCATAAGATGACACATGATGATGCATGCAGTCATACTCATGCTTCGAAAAAATAAAACACATGGTGACGTGTGTGGTCACACTTGTGTCTAAAATTTCTAATGCATCATAATCGATCATGACACTTATATAATCGATTATAACAGAGAACTTTTGAAAACAATTGTTTCATTTGCTGACATAATCGATTATGACAGTGAAAAATGTCATAATATGAAATTGTTTCACACTTATGTTTTGGAGGCTTATGCACAATACTACTTCATCAACTTGTACCTCCATATCCAGTGTTCTAAGACTTTATCTAGGTTTGATTGAGTTTTGAGTAATGTTGATTTGAATCTTCATCAAAATCATCTCCTTCAAAATGTAGGAAAATGTTTCACATTGTCATCAATCTCCCCCACAGTACTTTCAATCTCCCCCTTTGGTGATGATCAAGGAAACACCTGAAATAAATTTAAAATGTTTGACTCTATATAACCAGCTCAAGATTAGCACAGATTAGCACAAATTAACACAGATTAAACTCCCCCTAAATATGTTAATAATAAAATTCCCCTTTACTTATCTTGAGCAAGAATTCCCCCTAACTCCCCCTGTTTAATTCAAAATTAGGAATGAATTTCACACATAATTTTAATTTATCAAAAAATCTCCCCCTATTTCATTGATAATCATTAAAAAAACATTGCAAGGGAAATTTTTAATTCAAGACAAGAAACTATTGCAGCACAAACAAAGATATTACATCAATTTCAAGAAAGAACAATAGCAAGGAAGTGCTAGGAACTAAATATCATCTTCATCCTCGTCATTTTGTGCTTAGGATTCCCTGATGGTCCTTTCTATTGAAGAGAGTCGACCATCAATGTCCTGAAAACCTTTGTGGATGGAGGAAGTCATAGCATCCACACTTTGATGCATGTAAGCATTCGGGTCTTCATAATTCTTTTGCTGAATGGCAAACCTCTGTTCTTGAGCAGCTGCAAAGTCTGCTTGCCATTTTTGCATACTTCTCAGCATTGCCATATAGTCATCTTAGGCAGGAGGAGGATGACGCACATCATGCTCCATTGCTGCTGGTCTTTCAATTTGAATGGGTTCATCCTGAGGAACCCATGAGTCTTCAGGATTGTGCAAACCCATCCTGTGCAGCACATTCTGACCAATTGTACTGCTACTCTCCAGCATGACATGTCTCTCATTGGAGACATCTACACCTGTGTAGACCAGAATCTTTGAAATGAAGAGGGCATATGGTATATGTGAGTGTAAGCGACTACCTGTGCACAGATGAGAAGTTATTATGACTAGCCAGTTGAGGGGTATTCCATTTGTTATGCCATATAATAGAAGTACGTCCTCAGTAGTAAATTGGGCATGATTTGTTCCGCGAGGACAAATCATCCAACTCAGCACATACGCCAGTAGACGTTCATTTACCCTCATGGGGCCAATCTTGTATAACTCAATATTTCCAACATTTTCATCTCGAAGAAAACAACGGTAAACTTGCATTTTGTTGAAATCTTCAAAGCCCTCTATAATGTCCACACCAACATTGGTGGGAACTCTAGCCACATTTTGTCATATATCGTCATCTAGCACTGTATCAACACCTTTTACCCGGGAGTAGTAGAGGTCATCCTCATCCCACTTTAGATTACTCAAACTTTGTAGTGTGGTCTCCACTTCCTAACTCCAGAAATGTAGAGAGGCCCTGATTTGCCAGTAGCTCTTGAAAAGATAAACCTACAGAATGGAAGTAATCCAGAGACATACGTTTTTGAGGAACTAACTTCTTATCTCTGAAGGATTGCAGAAACCTGTCTTGAAGATCATCGTCAAAGATCCAACCAGATAGGTTGTTGGACCTGATAGGTGCTGAAGACTGGGTAGTCTCCTTTCCTCTTCTACGTGTGGTCAACTTCCTTCTTTGGCTGCTAGAGGAAGAGGGTAATGTAAATCTAAAACTTAGAGAGTGGGAGAAAGGCAACACCAAAAGAGAGTGAAGGTTGGGATGGTTGAATGGTGGAGAGTTTCTGAAGAGAGGAAGAGCTTTAAATAGAAACTGGGGAGGGTTTTGAAATTTAAATTCAAATCAAATTTTAAATTTAACTTTTCAAATTCAAATTTCAAATTTTAAATTTCAAACTGCAAAATTTCAAATTGCAAAAATTTCAAACTTCAAAAGAAAAGATAGCAGAAATGGAAAGAAAGATGCAAAGAGTAAGTTTAGAAACGAAGTAGTCGTGAAGAGAAAAGCAATTTGGGTTTTTGAACAACAATTTTTTTTTAAAAAATCACGTCATAATCGATTATATGGCTCCCATAATCGATTATGACAAAGTAGAAACCACACTCTGGAAGTCAGTATAATCGATTATGGTAGTGCTTGTGTAAACAACATAATCGATTATCACAACACACACAGAAACAATATAATCGATTATATTAGGCCATAATCAATTATTCCAGAGCCAAAAGCCATGATATAATCGATTATATTATGTAATAATCGACTATCACAACAAGCAACAGTCACTCAGTAACACAAAATGACAGAGAAAAACATCATATCAAGGAGGCAATATCTAGGATACCTAAGGCCCGTCTTAGCTTATAAAACCTATCTCTAGGTAATGGTTTGGTAAATATATCAACTAACTTATGGGTGGTATCTATGAATTCTATTATGCAATCTCCTTTTTGAATATGATCTCTAATAAAATGATGATTAATCTCTATATGCTTAGTCCTAGAATGCACTATAGGGTTCTTAGTGAGATTTATTGTACTAGTACTATCACATTTTAAGGGAATATGATCTAGGAAAATATTGTAATCTTTTAACTAATGTTTCATCCAAAGAATTTGGGCACAACAACTACCCGCAGCTATATACTCAGCTTCAGTTGTGGATAGAGCAATACAAGCTTGTTTCTTGGAGTACTAGTGAACAGTCAAGTAGATGACATGTCCCACTTGTACTTTTCCTGTCCAGTTTACATTCTCCATAATCTGAATCTGAATATCCTATAATGCTAGGTGAAGCTCTTGAGGGGTACCAAAGACCAAATGATCTAGTTTCTTTATAGTATTTAAAAATTCTCTTAACAACAACGAAATGTGATTCCTTGGGATTAGCCTGAAATCTAGCACAGACACATACTATGCATAATATCAGGTCTATTTGCTGTAAGATAAAGTAGGGAACCGATCATACCTCTATATTTGGTTTGGTCAACCGTCTTACCTTGTTCGTCTTGATCCAGATAGCAAGACATTGCCATTGGAGTAGATGCTTCCTTTGAATGTTCTAATTCAAAATTCTTGATTAATTTAGTGCAGTACTTTGATTGTGAGATGAAGATGTCGTTGGTGATCTGTTTGATTTGCAGTCCTAGAAAGAATGTCAGTTCACCCATCATTGACATCTCGAATTCACCCTGCATTATTTTGGCAAACTCTTGACAAAGATAATTATTAGTTGATCCAAAAATTATAACATCAACATAAATTTGAACTACAATAATATTTTTCTTATGCTCTTTTATGAATAAAGTTGGATCTACTTTACCTCTCCTATAGTTGTGACTCACCAAAAAGTTACTTAGGCGTTCATACCATGATCTAGGTGCTTGTTTGAGTCCATACAGGGCTTTTTTCAACTTATAAACATGATCTGGATGTTGATAATCTTCAAAGCCAGGAGGTTGAGACACATATACCTCCTCTTTGATGTATCCATTTAAGAAGGCACTCTTCACATCCATTTGATATAATTTCAATTTCATGATAGATGCATAGGCTAGTAGAACCCGGATAGCTTCCAATCTTGCTACCGGTGCATATGTCTCATCATAGTCAATTTCTTCTTCTTGACTATATCCTTTTGCAACCAGTCTTGCCTTATTCTTTGTAATATTTTCTTGCTCATCTAGCTTGTTCCTATACACTCATTTAGCTCCAATAACCTGCATTGACTTCTTTCTTGGTACTAGAT